TGTGTCTTTTTGAGTCGGCAGACTCGGGCGATGTGGCCCTTCTTGTTGCACTGCCGGCAGATCGCGTCGATAAAACGGCACTCGGATCGAAAGTGGTTTCCCCCGCACCCGGCGCACTGGTTCCCCGACTTACGACCCCGTTGATCTCGCCGGTCCCGTCCTGTTTGTAGTCGGTGGACGTCTTCCTCCTCGTCCATGGTATCGGAGGCGGAGTCCAGGTCCCCGTGGTGTGTGGTGGTTTCTCGTTGGCTTGTCTCGGGGGTTTCAGTGTGGTCCCCGTTGTCTGCCCTCCGAAGTCTGGCTGCTGACTTCCGGGTGGCTTCGGCTGCGGAAGCTTCGGCCAGGGCGTCCCCGAGGTCGATGTTGCCTTTCGCCATCAGTCGACTTTTTAGTGCCTGATCCCTGAGGCCTAGGACCACGCGGTCTCGGAGGACATCGTCCAGGTCCCTGAACTCGCACATCCCCCCTAGGTCTCGCAAGGCGGCTATAAAGTCGCTAATGCTCTCGTCTTGCCGCTGGTTTCGCCGATAGAACTCATCCCGCCGGATGAGAATGGGCACAGCGGGGGCGTAGTGGTTCCGAAGGAGTGGCTCGAGATCGGCCCAGTCCATCGCCTTCACGTCCTCTGGCTTCGCGAGGGCTTTGGCCATCTTAAACACTGCGGGCCCGCAGTGTGTGAGGAAGACGGCCCTTTTCTTCTGCCCGTTCGCATCCTTCAAATTGCTACTTTCGAGGAACATCAGGAATCTATCCGTGTACGATTCCCAGTCCTCGGTAGCGGGGTTGAAGGGTGCTGGTGGGGTCATGCTGGCCATCTCGTCGGTCCTTTGTCTTCCTCGGGACACGTGCTCGGTGGTTATCCTTTGGATCCCACCCTCGTCGCCAGTGTCGTGTCCGTCGAGAAAGGAAGCTCGGAGACAGTGACTTGGTTTCAGCTCTTTATTGGCTCCTGAATACAGCTTAGGCTTGAAGGGAAAAACTGCGGCTTTTTATTCTCGAGCCGCGGCGGTCGCGGCCAATGACACCGCTTCGAATCTCCCGCGATTAGTTTCCACCAATCGCGGGGGATTCGCAGCGGACCAATCAGTGCGGCTCGCTCGACCAATCCCGGTCGTCGCGCGCCTTAACCAATCGCGACGCGGGGCTACGAGTATGTTAATTGACTTGTACAGAACAGAAAGTGTTTTAGTTAAAGTTTGCCAGTGGAGGCCTTTAACAATCAGAAGAGATGCGGGAATAGGGCAAGCATTTTAGTGGAATGTGATCCAACTGCCCTGTGCAACTGAAAGAGGTTTGTGTAAAAAGGAATAAATAAACCAGAAAACGTTTCACCTACCAGTGTTTTCCCCCGGCCCTCAGGGAGCAGCTACTTCTTCTCATGATTCTTGTGGTTCATAGCAACATTCACACAAGCAACATGGTGCCTCCCTCCCTCCCTCCCTCTTTCTCTCTCTGTTGTTATTTTTAACAATAGTTTCTGGATATAATGGCAAAGGAGCTTTTTTTTATGGTTCTCACTAAAGACTGGATCCTGGCTTTTACACCAGTCAGATAACAAGAGTTTGTGATGGATATGCCTTTATAACATAACAAGCCCCAGCTACTCCACTTCTGACTTCATGTCTTGTTCAGCTGGAACTGTCTACTTACGAAAACACTGCGGGATTTCTCCACTCCACGATCCATTTCCTTCACAGGTCAAAACAGCAGCTAGGGAGAGCTGATAGCCTTCCAGACAGGTATAACTGATACTTGAGCCCCAACTGAAATCTGAGCCCATGACCCTTCCATTGGAAACAATTTGTGGAGATTTGCAGATGATAGCTAGGGAGAAAAAGTCACACTGAACTCAACAAGAGACCCAAAAGGTTAGAATTCATGTTCCAGAGTTTCTATTATTATCATGTGAGTGTGCTCTACATATTGAAGGAAATTGTGATTATTGCTGCAAAGCTCCTTCTTCAAAGGGCTAGAATTCACAGATGTTACCCTGTTCTTTCTATTGGGGCAAATAAAATGAAATACAGATGGTAATTAAATAAGGCCACAGAATGCAAGTAACTGAATAGCAAATTGGCCATCTGTAGCACCTAGGCATAAAGTAAGGGAAAATGTAAACATGCTTGTACAGCGAATCAGAAATCCTGGCATGAAGGACATTAACACTATGCACATCACTAGACAGGATGATCTTATAGACTCTTTAGAAACCATGTGCTTCCATGTGCAACCAAGACTAATTTATATATGGCTTCTGAATCCACCTCTAATCCAAATTCTTCACCTCTAATTCTTCAAAAAGTCTCAGATTATTTTTGAAACCAGTTCTTCCTGGCTTTCCACTGACCACAGGGATTCAAAATAATGTGAGCCATGAACAGAAAGGTTTCTTTAGGATTCTTTTAAAAAAAACTCATGGTTAAAGAAATTGGTGGACAGTTTTTACCAGATTTTTCAAGGGGAAGAAAAATTTCTACAACTATTTCTTAAAAACAAAAAACTCTCATATCCTTCCAGCAGTAATATAATGGATTAATTCTCTTGAGATCTTGGACAGTAGCATGAAGGCTATACTACACAACAATGAAAGACAGAATACACATATAACAGCCCTTCTTTGATCACCTAGTACAGGTATGAATATCCTGCCTATGAGACATTCTCCAGGCTGTTCTTTCTAAGGCACAGGTGTCAAATTTGCCACATCATGTTGCCATCACGTGACGTTTCATGACATTTTCCCCTTTGTGGAGCTGGGGTGGGCATGGCCTCCATGTGACACATCTGGCCTCCATGTGACACCCCTAATTAGCCTTGGGCTAATTTTTTTTTAAACAAATTGAAGAAGTGAGAGACTGAGGGAAGAAAAAGAATTTCTCTATCTGGCTTTTGTGGCTTATCCTATCCTATCCTTTCTATCTGGAGACTACCTGGTGGGGAAATGTTCCTCTAGACCAGGGGTGGGCAGTTATGGCCTCTTTATGACCTCTAGACTTCAGCTCCCAGAATCCCCAAACTAGCAATGCAGGTTCAGGAATTCTGGGAGGTTGTAAAGGGCCATAGTTGCCACCCCTGCTCTTTTCAACCTTGGCGGCTTGAAGATGTGTGGACTTCAACTCCCAGAATTCCCCAGCCACACTTCTTCAAGTCACCAAGGTTGAGAAACACAGATGTAAACTATAGGGAAAATCCCACATGTGCTCTAATGTTGTGATTAAATTGGCCTTACCTTTGCAGACAGGTTTTGTCCCATTCCAGGTCCGGTCCTTAGTGCAAATTAAAGTAGAAGCTCTTTCTGACTCCATCATGTAACCTGGCATGCACTGAAATGTGACAGTCTTATTATAGGTGAAGTCATTGCCCATTCGAATGCCGTTGGCTGGTACTCCAGGGTCCCCACAGTTTATCACTTGGAAAAAGAAGAAAAGAAGATCAGCTGCAGATCTCAAAGGCAAGGTTGATGTTAATAATGAAAACAACAGTATTATTTTGAAAGCAAATTCTTACAACAGTCCTCAAGTTCAAGATATTCTCCTATGGTGAAGCTGGGAGTAACTAGTTATCTCATTCCTAAATAGTGTGATGGATAGGTCAGTACCTTTCCAAATGGAAATTCTGCAAGTCTATTTACTACTTGCAAAATTGGGGGAAGGGCTTCATGATTTCAATTGTGGTTTACAGGATTAAAAAACACAGAAATTCCTTCATACTTCTGGTCTGTGAGTACTATTATCTCCCCTCCTCCCTGAAAAAAAATCAATTCTGGTTAAAAGGGGAAAATAGATTATCGTGTTAATGATAGACCCATTAGTCCTCTTAACACAGTCAGCAAACTCAATGCAGGACATCTACAATGGAAATTTTAGGACTGGCTGGAACAAGAGAACCTGCTGACAAAAGAGTAGGCTGGCTGATCCATTATTGATCAGCGCCTCACATTTGAGCATCGCATTGGAAAAATACTTCTCCTGCAACACAACTTCTCATTATGTTGCTTTTAGAGATTTCAAAGCAGCATTTGATGCTCTCTCCTAAGTTAAACTATGGGAGAAGTTAGAAGTTTCCTTGATCAACCAGTGTTGACTTTATCTAATATCTGTGCTGCATAAAGTCATGTTATTCAAAGAAAGTTGTAGTCACTAAGACCATCTTACCCAATGTTATTGAAACCAAGAAAAGTGTTAAGCAAAGATACATATTAGTCCCACTTTACATTAATTTCATAGTGGGACATTTCCACAATGTGAACTCTCTCTCCTTGAAGAGATATTTCTGTGCAGATGATCCAGGGATATATTCAATAATGTTTGTTGGTCTTGAAAATAACCTAGCATATTATTGCAAGGAATACCAACTAGAACACAATTATCAGAAAGCTAACGTCATAGGATATGCCAAAAGCCTCAATAACCTTTTTGTGGAACATATATAGCCACAAGAATAAAATAATTGAGGATTGTTCATAATTCTACTGTCAATTGGAAGCTCCATAGGAACTACATTGCTGAAAATGCACAGAAGAATTAATCTGCCATCATTAAATATTTTAAGGCAAGAAATGGTTATTATACACCTATAGTTCTCAAATTATTTGATGCCAAGCCATTAGCATAGCTTTTCTATTATGTCCAACTGGGTCCCTTTTCTAGTTTCACACCACTAGAATGTGTACAATCTAAACTTCAAAGAAATGTCCTTCAAGTGTCTTTACTGACACTTTGTGCCTTGAGATAGAGATGGAGGCTAGAGTGTGGTTGGGCATGCCCAACTATTGGCTCAAACTACCTTTCTTTACTCCTTGTCCTTGTCCCACTAACCATGAACAAAGACTTCCAGTTTGTCTGGAAACAAGGTAAGGGCAATTAAAATCTTATATTTGGTCCTCTCACCAGATGTTCTACCCAGCATGGGTTATGATGGGCAAGAACATTTCTTAAAACAGTGTACAACAGATAGTGGGTGCCATTCCGACCTAACCAAAGTCCAAACATTATTAACAGTGAATCCATTTAAGACATTTTGTCTTATTCATGGCATTCTTAACTAAGCTCGAGATTCTTAAGCACTGAAAGCTTTTCCTCTGGCATGATGCCAGGATTTTCCTTCACTGTACTTGGAAGTTGATAAAGGAAGGCTCCCTACTTGGGGAGGCAATGGCCTTGTGAGTCTGCATGCAATAGAACATGTGTTCTGCCTTAAGAAATAATGTTTGATTATTCAGAGTTCCCATGCTCAGTGAAGTGTTTCTCCAATATATCTCCTTGCCAACCCTTGCCCTAACATTACCTTTTTCTCAATAACCTCTTCATGGGAATTTACAGAATACAATCTGCACTAAAGTTGCTCAGAGGTGGTCTCTTCAGAACAGTGACTCATACAGAAACTGCAGGATGGAGAACTCATCTCCTTGAAGGATGGGAAAACTTATCATTTCTATGTGAAAAGTACCATTTCTGAAGAATTTGGGATATGCCAATCCAGGGATGCTCCTTATTTATTTAATAACTTTATGTTCCACAACTGGGAACAAGCCTAAGGCAGCAATTTAAAAGTCCTAAGTAGAGATAACAGGATAAAGGTATAGATGTAACAAATAACAAAGGGGAAAAAAAGAACTCTGTGATTTTGAAGCAAAGTATAAATAAAGAAATAAAGAAATATGGATACTAAATGAAGAATAAACTAAAATTAAACAGCAAGGTAGCATTTCAGCATTCCCTATTATCATGACCTGCAGTTCTTATAACTCTTAGCTGTTGGTCCAAATACATCTAGAAAGCATCAAGTTGTAGAAATGAGCTTCATCATTGCTAACATCTTCCTTTGACCAACTCACCTGTGCATTCTGGGGTACTCCCGGTCCAGGTTCCATTGACTGTACAATGCCTGCTGAGCACACCTGTGGAATAATAGCCATCGCGACACTTGTATATGATGGAGCTGGAGAACACCAGGCCGTCATTGAATAATACCCTTGAATTGCTGGGTGTACCAGGGTTCCCACATGATATCACTGCAACCAATGAATAATGAAAGAGGAGTCAAAGGAGTGCAACAATATCCTTGGCTGTGAAGTACTTGCATTAATGTGCAGATATCAATGCAGAGTTAGAGAAATCTGATGGGTGGATCTGTACTCTCCGTTGGGACTTTCAGCAGTTATCCGTGATGTTGGGCAGAGAAAGATCACATCCCTGATTCTACTTCCTTAAAACTAAAGGCTGAAGATAGAACCCCCAAGTGCAAAGCAAGGTCTCTGCACTGTGTAAGGCATCCAGAAAGTATCCATGATATCAATCACTCCAAGACATCTCTCTCCAAGGTTGAATTTATTAGAAACAGATCTGGCATGTCAAAGGCAATTTCCAAAGTTAAATTATTTTCGAGCCTTACACAGAATCCACCTTCTCTCCTCCCACTTCTACACTTCATAAATCACAAGCACCAATTAACTGCCACTGGAATTACTTAATAGACATACAGAATAACCTTGAACTTTTCAACTCCTCCAACTCTCTAAAAAAAAAGGTGGCAGCTGAATTTTAAAACTGACACACTGGGTCATAGTGGTGAACCCTGTTGAGCTGCTTGTCCATACATCCTTGAGCTGACAAAAAAATTATATGAGCATGTCATTAACGAACACCATTGCCAATCTTCTTCCTGTTACAATGCCTTTGTTTCAAGTCACTGCAATCTTCTAACTTCTCTTCAAGGTAATGGGTTCATCACCCTTGGACACTGAAACAACAATTATATATAACAAACAATTATGTTGGGGAAGAACATGGCTTTAACTCTGGTACAGCTAAAAGTGGCTTAATTCTAATTCAGGTAAAGATATTACAGGAAAAAAAGCTTGCTGGGGCACAGTTAAAAGCAAGTGGAGAAAGGCCTCATTTCCTTATAGAACAAGTCTGAAAGTCCCATACAGGTAGTGTTCAACTTACAACCACAACTGAACCCAAAATTTCTGTTGTTAAGTGAGACATTTGTTAAGTGAGTTTTGACCCATTTTACAACCTTCCTTGACACAGTTGTTAAGTGAATCATTGCAGTTGTTAAGTTAGTAACCCGATTGTTAAGTGATTCCGGCTTTTCCATTGACTTTGCTTGTCAAAAGATTGCAAAAAGTGATCACATGACAAAGGTGATTACAAAGGTTGCAAGTGTGAAAAATGGTCATGGGTCACTCTTTTCAGTGCCATTGCAACTTTGAATGGTCATTAAATGAACAGTTGTAAGTTGAGGACTACTTCTATTGGGTGAGAATTCTGGGTGTTGCTGTCATAGGAGGGTGCCAGGATGGAGAAGATTGAAAATGCTCTCTTGATTATGAGGGCTGGATGAATTTCTTGAGTTACAATCCTAAATATACATATTGAGATTTAAAAGCCATCATTTGGAGTGTGATGGACACGTGAAGAGGACTGAGCTATGGGACACGTTTAAACATCTAACCATATGGTAGAATGAGCATTTTAATGTGTCCTGGAAAATAAACAAACCAATTTCCACACTTATCTCCTATTGAATATTGCATTATGTGTTCCCCAACGGTTTCTTCTTCCTTTGAGTATGCTATAAAACATTGTGAAATATTGTACCAAAATACAAGTTGGTATTTTGCATGAATGTGTTTTTATTCCATAAACTTAATGCAGTTCTTTTAAGTTAGGCATCAGTATTAGATTCTCTGTCACAGTCAACAGAGTTTTTAGGGTGATCTCTTTCTATGAAGTCAGCATTTTCCTCAACAGAAGAAAGGCAGATCATTCAAACAGCCACATTATACTGTTACCATGTGCAAATTTAAAAGTCTCCCCCAAAGGAAAAAAAAATGCACACCCTGTCCAGAACATGTGGCTTTTCAAACACCCTGGATCTTAAATGGGTAACACCATATAAAGGAAATTTACATCTATATAAATTTGCATAGATGAATTTGCTGTTATCTCCTCAATTAAATAGGTGTACTAAAACAGCCGTTTCCCTTGGAGATTAAGATCCAACCTGTTATTCTGAAACCTCTGCTAAATTAATGGTCTGAGGCTCCCAGCAGCGTTTTCTTTGCCATTCAATCAATGCTCCAGAGTCTTTCCTTTGAAAATGTCTTTGCTGAAATCCAGCCTTGGAACAAGATGCGGTGGAATGCCTTTTCAAGTCCTTGTTTGTGAGTTGACAATTCCACATGATTTTGAACAGCCATTCACAGTTTGCTCGGAAAACAAGAGAAATGGTGGGAAGATGGAATGGATAAGGGCAACATTCAAAGAATGGATAAGGGATGGTCACCCAGAACACATGATAGACTTGCTTAAACAGAATATGGGGCATTTAACAAACAAATAATTATCCTCTGGTCTTGCTATAGCCCTTTTGTGTCCCATTCAGTTTTAGTTTTAAATAAAAAAATATATTTGTAGAATGCTTGGTGTTCTCTGCACTTGGTTGTTTGTTTGCAGATGTAAGTAAGTAAGTAACATCATCAGTGCTAATGAGCATTGGATTTGCTCACACTCGTCCCATATTGCAAACTTAGTACACTTATCCCTACTCTGTACACTGCACAGTCATCCCACCACTGACCAGCACTGATTATGTTATCTAGTTGGGTAATGAAATGTCTGCAAGAAAATAAACATACTCAGAGAGTATCAAGGACCCCACAGTTGTAGGATTCTGAGCTACAAATATCACCTTCTACTGAAAATATCTTATTTACAAATGCAATCAGGGGTAATGAAACATTATGGAAAGCTGGCCATGAAAAAAGAACTCTCACCCATCACAAACTTATTTTTACAAACTCTCAGGTCATGTCTCCGCTCTTCATTCCAACCCTGTTTGGTGCCAAAAGGAGGATGGAAAAAAAAACTTTCCTCTGGTTTCTCTGTGTGTGTTTGCTTGTTTTTGTTTTAATGCCAATTTTCATTTTAAATCTCACTGGAAATTAAAGCTAAACGAAGCCTGACTCTTCAGTCTGGTAAGGGGATCCTGGTTACAAGGCAGCTTATGTCACATAAAATGGAAACGCTAACACAGCAGAGCTTTAATGAAACGCGATTAATTAGCTTGCTTCATTCCATACCATTTGTGGCCTTTGAAATATTGATTGGGTTTTTTTGGAAAAAAAAGTTATCTCTGAATTTTTATGATTATAGGGCAGAGGAAAAAAAAACTTAAAATTAACAGTCCCTCTGGAGAATAAACACTTCTGTTTTTACTGCCAAATGAACCAAAGTGGGCTGAAGCATTTGCCTGCTACATCTCGGTCTCAGAGGCAGAGGTGAGCCACAGAAATGTGTGGACAGCTGGGGATTACACTGGGGGAAAGAGTGTTCCTCAGAGTCCAGCTAAAGGTTATGCTTTGTATACAACAGTCCACAAACCTCTGAAGCAGAAAGCTTGAAATATAACTATTCTAAGCCTGGGGATTGAAACCACAGCCTTTAAAAAGTCAATGGATTCTATGCTCCTTGGAAAGTTCTCTGCAGCTTTTTGGGATGAACTTTCATCATATGGAGCCAATCCTGGTTCTGGCACTTCAACCACTGAAAACAGGCATTGATTAAACTGCAGGAGGCTGGGTTGGTTGTAAAGTCACACATTTCTTTCTAGGGTTCCAGGATTTAAAATAGGACACAGGCCAGGTTATTTACAGAACTGAGTCTCCCTAAGGACATATATCTGTCCTACCAGATCATACAGGGTGGACAGGCTGCTAGTTCTTTCCCTCAGATTGCCATCTTATGGGATCTAGGAAGTGTGCTTTTTCCATGGCAACCCCTGCCCTATGGAATACCCCTTCCCTTTGAAGTTCAGCAGGCCTCTACTTTCCCAGCCATCCCAAAATAATTCGAGACAAGCACTGGGATACAGCGATGTGGAGGATTTAATGAGGGACAGCAGGTGAAAGCTTAACTTTTGTGCTGGGTTTTTCAAAATGTTTATGGTTTTAATAAGCACACAGTATTATTTTGTTTTATTGTTGCTATTGTTTTATGTTGATTGGGAGCCATGCAGACTTTGATATAAGATCAGCTCTATAAATGTTTAAATAAAGTAAAATGCATTAAAAAAAAAAAACTCTTAAGCAAGACACATTGGAGCAGAAACAACTTCTGAATTCCCACTGGCTTTCCCATTGAGTTGTCATGTAAAAAACTGGAGAGAACATTGGAGATCTTCCTTCCCTTCCCTTCCCTCTTGTCCCCTCCCTTCCTTTCTCCTAACTCAAATCTGCTTACAGCACTGGTCTAGAAAACCCAAGTATGCAGCATAATTGAAGTTTGAGACTCATTTAGTTTTTGAATGGTATACTAGAAGGATCACATTTCGAAATGTAAGTGGATCCAGGACAAAAAAAAAACTTAATTAAAATTCAGTTCACTTGATGTAATAATTTTCCCCATCTGCCACACTGACAGTTACAATTTGCTGCCAGTTTTGGAGGAAGTCTGGAGGCTTCATGCAGTGTTTCAAGGAACAGCATGCAGCTTTGAGACCTCAGGTTCTCCACCTTTGAGCATGCAAGGAGAAAATTGCCTCAGGAAACAAAAGCTGAGAAGTATGGTGATGTAGACTTTTGGAAGAAGAAAATGGTATGCATAGCAAGCCTCCTCTGAACCACCTTGAGATTGCCTTCTGCAGGAGAGAATACTATCTCATGACCAGGGATGAACCAATCAACTTCATGGCATAGAAAAGATACGTGACATCTCATTTTCATCTCAAGCTGAAAACTATATTGGCTACTCTTGTCATAATTTCTTATATTCTCTTCCAAGAGCATCATGCCATAACTGAGCTTTAGTGTTCCAGCACCTTTGTTCCAAATCTTTTTTTCTCATCCCTTGGTCTTCGATACAAATCCTAGTGCCTATCAAATACACTTCAGTTCTAAATGACTTTCCATCCCTAACACCAAACATTCCCCATACATGATGCTACATTTATAATCTTGTGATTAAAAAGTTTTGTCTGGGATCCATGTTCCTGACTCCTTCTGAACTTCATAAAATTATTTGTTTTGAGATTGAAATACATGACCCATCCCCTTTTCAGCAATAAAATGAAATAACAAATGAAGATATTTGAAGTAGTGACAAAGGAACTATCGGGCATCAGGACAATAATAGGTTATGACATCTCTTCAGTAGGGGTGGGATGCAAATATTTTTACTACTGGTTCTGTGGGCATGGCTAGGTGGGTGTGGCCATGTGACTGGGCATGTGGCTTCTTTTTTTTGCACCCTCTGCGCTACATTTTTTTTTTTTTTTTTTTTTGCCTTCTGGGCCTCAGGGAGGCCTCCTGGTTGAACAAAAATGTCACCATGACAACAGATTTCTCTGGTGATCATCCCTAGACAAAAGCATAGTAAGGGAAGCTTGGAAAGTTTAATGTGAGCCCTTGCTCTCAACTAGTCACAAGCTTGGAATCACAAAAGATGATGGTCACTTAGACAATCATCAAAAGAGAGATTTTAGGTGATGTTGGTCATGATTCCTAGTGGCACCTCCAGAATGAAGGTAGAGGACTCTAGGGATTAGTTGTTGGGCACAGGCATCTAATAATCCACATTTAGGAGAAGTATTTTTGTTAGCCACCAAATCAAGACATGAGACTCTAAGGCGGTGGTGTTTAAGATTTGTGGATTTCAACTCCCATAATTCCCCAGTCAGCAGGATTAAGACTAACAGGACTAACAGACTGGGATTTTCCATTTCTTTTCTTTTTTTTAAATTTTATTGTTTGAAGTATAATCTTTCAAAAGGAGGATTACTCCAACATCTTCTTAGGTGGTATCTTCTTATTTGGAAGATGTTTGAAGTTCTCATTCCTCAAATTGGATAAGAACTTGTATTTTTCCCCTCTGGTGCCAGTTTTTTTTGCTGCAAAGTTTTAACAAGCACAATCTCAAAGGGTGCAAAAGAATTTCAAAGACGGAAATGTAGAAGCTGTATTCAACCATGCTCACTTTCATCTTTCAAGTTTATTTGTGACTTTCTCAGAGGTTCAGGCTAACCAAAATGGTGAGGTAGATAGTTGCCTGAAGTGTATAGCAAAATTCTTCATTCAAGTACAAATATGTCTCTGGAAAAATTTGCTGTGCTATACAGACTTGCCATTAGCAAACAAAAGTAATTGCATGAATCCAGTCTGGTCAGTAGAGCTTCTGAAAAGATTCTAAAACTTGCTTGAAAATACTAAGCCATACGTTATGGTAGTATATATGCTAGGTATATGTGGACATTTGCCCCAAGCCCACTGACTCAGATCTAGGAACAGCTTTATGGCAAGAACAAATATTCTTGTGGGTACACAAGAACAAAATTGAATTAAAAGATGGATGAAGGAACCATTGAGCAAGGAATAACATTAAAGAAGGATATGGCTGAAGGATCCTATACTACCTGGAGGACTCTAAATAAGTTGAGAGTTGGAGTGCCTAAATGTAAAACCAATATGTTCATGTGTTACTACCAGAAACATGTTAACATGTACTGATAATGACTTATTTTTGGCCAATGACAAAACCTTTATGACGTTATTCTAGAAATTTAAAGTTTGATCTAGACATGGAAGGAGGAGGAGGAGGACAATTAAGATAGCCTTCTGCCATTTTTTTTACCCTTCAAAAAGAATGTATGTTGGCTTTAGAATGCCAGGTTGTGAATTACATATATTATATTCAACACTTCTGGAAAGCCCAGGCTGATGAAGGTGAGGTGGTGAAGAGCTAGAAGTCTCTGAAAGAATTATAATCTCACTGTATACTATTGTTACCATTAATTCACCATATATGGACCCATCTTCCAGCTTCTGTGCAAACAGCATAAATATTTACATTAAAGATAAAGAAGACAATGTTGTATATTGTGGTATGGTTTTCAAATGTTGTAAATTCCCCAGAGTTGCTGTTGTGTGATGGCAGCCACATAAATCCAATCAATAAATAAACAAATGTGTGTAACAATGGACATATATTGGTGAAAGGAGAAAAAAAGAACGCAGAAAGCATAAAACAGCCCAAATCATCTGACTTGCCCCATATAGGTCCTTGCAGGCTGATCAACTGACCAGGCTTACCTTCGCATTCTGGCTGAGTGCCACTCCATGATCCATTGGCTTGACACATTCTTTGCAGTGAGCCCCGGAGAGTGTAACCCGGCTCACAGCTAAACCAGACTGTGCTGTTCACGCTTAACTCGTTTTCACCGTGCCGGATACCGTGGGAAGGGATTCCTGGGTCACCACAAAGTCCCCGGATGCTTCCTGCCAAAGGAAATCAGAAGTTCTGCCATGGGAGCAAGCAGTGCTACCCTCATCTCCTCTCTTCTACCCATTGACGGTGCAGTTCACCGTCAGCTTTGATGGAAAAACTGATAGAATACAAAAAGAATTGGAGTCAAGGAAACCAGCAAAATTCCACTTGGGAATTGAGAAGAAAGAAAATGGATTTCCAGATGTTAGAAGAATAGGGAGGAGCACAGCAATCACCCACATCAAGAAATGGGCTCCATCTGGGGCCTGACAATAACCAAATAGCCTTTAAAAATAGAGGCGTTACATTTCTGGAGAGTGATTGCTCAGGCAGGCCCCTGTATATTCTTTACTGTAACAAAATATAGGTAGTCCTCAATGTATGACCATTTGTTAGTGACCACTGGAAGTTATGACATTACTGAAAAGTGTAACTTATGAACAGTCCTTGCACTTGTGACTGTTGCAGCATGTCCCAATAGTCACATGATCAAAATTTGGTTACGCAGCAACTGGCATGTATTAACGGCAGTGGCAGTTTCCTGGGATCACCATTTGCAACTTTCTAAAAGGGGGAGGGGGCTTCTCACATGCAAAGGTTGTAAAATTGGATATGGCTCATTTAATGATCACATCACTTAATGATTGCGGTTTCAGTCCCAACAGTGGTCATAAGTTGAGGAGTACTTGTAATGTGCACTGATAATGTGTGCGCTTTTCCTTGGTTCTGTGTGCTATGACGAGCACAAGTGGTGGACTGTAGACATGCCTCTGAGTCATGTGACTGGGAGGGAGGGAGGCTTAGAATGGAGCAAATAGCAGCACTGTGAGCTGCAACCCATATGCTTCTCCCATTGGGAAAGAGATAGTGAAAAAGGGGCCATTTGGGGGGAAATATGATTCTCTGCAATCTAAAATCAGACTCCACCCATCTTTTTTGTTATCTCACCATATCAAATTTCAACTTGTTCTGTTCAGGATTTTGAAAATTATCCCAGAGACAAGAGATGGAATACACATCTAACTTTGTTCACATATTTTCTCTCCAACATTCCATTGGGTTAGTAAGAAGATGTATATAAAATCACACATTGCAATGTCCTACCTGCAAATGAATACTTCAGCTTCAATCATAATAATACAAGAGCACACAATAGATACAAACTCAAGGTTAACCGCACCAAACTTGACTGCAGAAAATACGACTTCAGCAACAGAATGGTCAATGTCTGGAATACTCTACCTGACTCTGTGGTTTCTTCCCCAAACCCCAAAAACTTTAACCTTAGACTGTCTACTATTGACCTCACTCCCTTCCTAAGAGGTCTGTAGGGGGCATGCATAAGCGCACCAATCGTGCCTACCGTCCCTGTCCTATTGTTTTTTATTTTTCTTATAAGTATCTATCATGTATTCAAAATTATATTTATTCTTATACCTGTATCTTGTAAGCGATTGACAAATCAAATAAATACTAAAATACTAAATACTAAAGATGAGAGACCTGAAGGTCCTTATATTTCTATCGTAAAAGAACAATTTCTCAGGAATTTTAGAACAGTTTTGTCTAGTAACACCAGGCCAGGAGACTGTGAACTCTATTCTCTCTTTAGTCATGACAGCCAGCTGGTGACTTGGGGGCTAATCATCAGGAGATTATGAATCCTAGTTCCACTTTGACATGAAAGCCAGCTGGGTGACTTTGGGCCAGTCCCTTTCTCTCAGCCCAATTCACCTCACAGGGTTGTGGTGAGGAAAGTAGGAAGAAGGTGTGTTGGATAAGTTTATCACCTTGTAAAAATAATAAAGGCAGGACACAAATACATAAATAAATAAATTAGGAACCTAAGGATGCTCATTGTCCATTTAATACATTTGCATTCCACCGCTGGTAACAAATCTAGGCAGCAATTCAAAAATATTAAGCACCAATAACCTTTATTTAAAAATGGGAATTAAAAGCAAGGATGTAGAGATGTAGCAAAATACCAAAGCTACCCATTGATTTTGGAGCAAAGCACGCAAGCAAACAAATAAAGAACAATCTAAAGAATAAAATAAAACAAATAGCAAGACAGCAGTTCAGCACTTTCTAGTACAGTGATGGCTAACCTTTTCATTGTCGCGTGCCGAAAGTGTGTGTGTGCGCACGCATGCCTGCACCCATAATGCAATGCCCCATGCCCCTGTGCATGCGTGTGCTCCCCCTGCGCTCCCCTGCCTCCTGTGCATGCACATGCAACACCCCGTGCTCCTCCCATGCTCCCCCGCCCCTGTGCATGTGCGCATGACCCCCCCGTGTTCCCACCACCACCCGTGCATGAGTGCGCATCTCCTGCATGCACCCCTCTCCCCATGCATGTGTGACAGATACCTGACAATCAGCTGGCTGGTGAGAGACATGCACACGCATGCAGTGGAACTAAGCTGGGACGACGGCTCACATGCTGGCAGAGATGGCTCTGCATGCCACTTCTGGCACATGTGCCATAGGCTCGCCATCACAGCCCTAGTGTGATGCCCTGTAGCTCTCATAACTCTTACCCTTTGGTCCCAGCACATATAGAAAGTATCAGTACGTGGACATGAGCTTCTCCATTGCTAACATCTTCCTTTGACCAACTCATCTGTAGCTTTTGAGTTACTCCTGGTCCAGACTCTGTTGACAGCCTATATTGAGCCCATCATTCAGACTGTGGAGCCTTCTCCAACTCTGTTTCTGCACTTTTGTGTAAAATACAGCACTACAGAAATATGGTATCAGTGGTTCAAGCAACAAATCTATTTAAAACAATCTCTTGAGTAACTCTTGGGACAATTCCAAGCAGATGTACACAGCAACTGCTAGCCCTGTTTACATCTTTTTCCTTTGGTTTTGGCTTGCCAATTTGGGTCTTTTTCAAACTAGAAATTACAAGGTGCTTCAAGGCCACCTGTTAGCTTTGCAGAAACAGAGGTGCTGGCTTTGTTGGGAACAGAGAAATGGTGCTCCAATGAGCCAGTAAGTCATTTCCTTTACTGTCAAAAGGGAAGTGTGTGTGTGCAAGGAAGCCATTTTGAAGGAATGATTTGACAGCTGGAATGGTGCCTGATCCTTTACTCATGTGGTGACCATCTGTTCTTGCCTCTTTCCACCAATCAGTTTTTTTTTTAAACGCAGCTCTCCAAAACAAGTCTGTTGCATTGCTTGTGTGGGAGAATCAATGTTTTTTTTTTAAATCTTTTTTGGACATGTATGGAATTGAGCTATACATCTTTTTTTATGTAAAGCACCAGCAATGGTCCACATTTTTTTCCCCTCCAAACCAACTTTGCAAATCATTTTTCTGATTGGATATCTAGTGAGAACATTTTTAAAAAATTCTTCTTTATGAAAAGGTTTTCTCATAAACAGAGGAGGAAGTACACTTTCAAGTTATTAATGGGTAAGTGCTGGCATCAAAAAGTGGTGCAAGATTAACTAGATCCCAATCCTGCTGTGAACCTCTCCACAGCCTACATCGCATGCAGACTTATTTACTAATTTAACAGTAGAAAACCTTTCAATTTCAAGATCCTTAATTGCAGTCCAAAGTGAACTGAGTATCTGGCAACATTACTGTTTCGTTGACGGTGCATGTCATGAAACTACAAAAGCTAATTTTGCTCTCCAAAGAATTCATGCAAGAGACAAGAGATGGGATAGATCAGGCAAGGGTCATCTCAGGGCAGAGAACACACAGAATCAAAATTGGGATTCTTTTATGCTTTTAGGTATACCTATTTCTGAGTTTAGATATCTTTTGAAGGTATTCAACACAGCATACTCTCCATAGCAGTTGCATGGCATAACTATGAAGAGACATAAGTTTTGAGGAGAGGAGGACTGCTCTCTGAGATAAAACATCACTGAATATTAAATGTGAGGAGAAGGTAAAAATGTGTGATGCCTATTCTCTACAGGTGCTGCCTATATTTTCTCCCCAAGCAGCATCAGGAAAAAAGATAACCTCTTTACCTTATTCTAATCTAGCCTCTCCTGAAAATATTATGACTCCTAGTCACATTATTTCAAGAGCTTTAAGACCTTTAAAACTGTGCCATGTATCAAATATGAGAAGCTACAAAGCCCTGCTGGACCAGACTAAGGAAACTTCCTTGTTCCCTTGTTGTTTGATTCACATATTGGGAATATTCACATGGTAGACACAATAACTTTTGAAGAAGAAATGTTCTTCTACACTTGTCTTCTCCAATTTTCAAACCCAGCTGTTAACATGGCTATGCTGATTGAGGGTTAATAGAAGTGATGTTATGTCTGACCCATCAGAAAAGCTTAAAATGATGGAGATTCTCCTTTAAAAAAATGTAACAGCCATTATCCAGCAATTTCTACTATAAACTCTTTTCTCCTAAGCCATGTAGTGTGCTTCGCATATATTGAAAATATGTGCCCTTCATGTGTTTCATAATCCTATAGCAAAATAATTTGTAAGACTGCCTGGCAGGAACTTTTAATTAATTAAAATATGGACTTCAGTTGTTTGTTTTCTCTTGAATGTGTCACTGGAAAGTTGAGATTTATAACCATATTTGGTATGAAATCTAACAGAGATCAGGAAAAGACATAAGTTATTGAAGGTGTTCCCAGAAGTTATCACAAGTGGACCTAGGCCTACTCCAAAGCAAACTTTCCTTGAAATCCAGATTGTTTTAATGCAAACTGATTGAGTGATGCTACTTAAAGAGATGAGAATAAATCAGCCCATATGCCCCCATCTTGGTAACCACCTCTTTTGCTGCTAAGTTTTCTTACCTGAGCAATGAGGTAGAGAGCCACTCCAACGCCCATCAAGCTGACATGTGCGGTTGGAATTACCAATCAAATTTCTGCCTTCTTGGCATTTGTAGTGCACCACTGCCCCTACGGTATGGACATCACCCAAGATCTGGGCATAAGGTGGGGATCCAGGATGGCCACAGGAGACCACTGAAACAAAGGAGCACCAAGTTTTCAATTCAACCTGAACGAAAGTTCTATTACTTTCATCCATCCATCCATTGTCTCTCTCTCCCTTTCTCTCCATCCACTTTCTTTATTGCCTCAAGTATATTGCTTGTGGTCTTTGAGTGATGTGTCAAAGGCCACATTTTAATAAGAGGGAAGGGGGATGCATGACAAAGAAGCAGGTGAGATAGAAATGCAATTTAATTTCATGCTACTAATTAATTAAACCAATTATTCCTTTTTAATTTTTTAGTATACGCTGTGTTCTAGTAAAAATTATACTTTGAAGGCAATTTGCAAAGTTTTGGGCGTATGTATGTATGTTTTAATGGAGGATACAGACAGAGATCCCTACTTTATCATTTTAGTATATTCAAGAGGAAAAAGAACACTTGTAACAGCAAAAGCCATTTGGAAACAGAGCCAAGAATTCTTTTCTTGCCCAACAGGATCTTTCCAATTTAGTTTAATTTGTTTTAAACTGCAACAAATCTGTGCAATTTCCACACAAGAGATTTCACATTGTAACCACATGAGTGCTGAATTTATTTATACACACAGATGGAGCTGTGCTAGTTGCATTCCTGGTATTTGAGCATCTTGTGGATCAAAAGTATATTTTGGTGAGTCTTGCTGACAAGTGATTGAATCCACACGTTGCACCAAGTCATGCTTTGTTTAACCACAGTTAGAGTTAGTGGGCAAGCTATAATGTCCATATTTTTAAAAAAGATGATATAGCAGACGTGGGGACAAAGTTTTATGGTCAGAAGGTAGATCTGAATGAAGAGTGAGAGCCGCAGTTGACAGTGCAAAATGAATACTGACCATTTCATACATGTGATCAAGATTTGGCAGGCTGATTCTTTAGGTTTGCAAATAAAACTTGTTCTCTTCTAGCAAGAAGACCAATGATTAATAACAGGGAAATTTATTAGGGTTGTGTGCTACTTTGGGTTTGATTCCAAAAAATTGCTTTAGAATGCATGGGAGTGTGATCTTTCAATCTGTTACATCAGGCATGTCCAACATGGGCAACTTTAAGACTTATGGACTTCAACCCCCAGAATTCCCCAGCCAATTCTGGGAGTTGAAGCCCACAGATCTTGAGGCCACACCACTGTGCCATAGATTAGTTGGCTACCCTCCACAACTGCTCTGTGAACCTGCTTAAAGAGGCAACTGCTTTGAAGAGTAGCAAAGAAGCCTTCATGTTTGTAAGATCATCAGAAGCAATGCAGATCCCTTTTTTTTTTTATAGTGAACAAATGATCAGATTCTCCCTGATGCCTATTGCTAGTGAACTGTTATGGGCAACATATCTGAGATGGTTCAGAAGTCTAAGTTACGTGAAAAGCAAATATTTCTTCATCTGCTTCCTCAAATGACAGGTATCTGAACTGAGGTTTTTTGTTTTTTCTTATTTATTTATTTGGTTTGTCAATTGCTTACAAGATAATAAGTATAAGTAAAAACATAGTGATGAATACATGGATACATATAAGAAAAATAAAAAAAAATAAAAAAAATTATTTAATCAAATCTTAGTCTTCATGATGCTTAAAAAATCTGAGCAGGAAGCGTGAAATATATATTTAGTAAAAAAAGAAAGGCCTGCTATACATGAAAAGCATTTGCAAAACAACATGCTTTTGTGTTTTAATATTCTATGAATGAGTTCCAAGTTAAGTCTGTGAGAAGACTGTGAAAGAGATGGTCTGAAAAGAAACACCTAGGAACTCAAATTTAAGAACAGATACCCCACAAATTTCATGTAAACTGAGAACTTGCAACAATGACAGCAATTCTAAAGATTAACAGTTTCCTACATGCCACATTTCTCTAAAAATGAATTCACTCATAGTAGTAGATACTTTTAACTAGAAATACCCAAAATGGAGGAATAACATCTATTGTATTCCTCTTCACAGTGATATTGTCACATATGAAATGCCTTTAACAATATGCAATTGTCAGCCACTTCCATTCATCCTTTCTTCCCGAGCCAATTAGACAGAAATGAGAATTGCCTGTTCACTGCTCTTCTTGAATAATATGGGGCCAACTGCTGAAACTGTCTTGTGGGCTATAGACAGAATCCTCTTATGAAGTTGTGACCTCAAGCAATGGGTGTTTTCAGTTTTATACCATCAAAAATGAGGAATTGAAACAAAGAATACTATGTATAGAATCATTCTGGAAGACCACAACTCATTTCTAAACTGCACCATGGCAGCTTGAAAGAGAAGTGGGCTTTAGCATTGTTGCAATGATGAAAAAGCAGCCAAGAGATCTCCATCAATGTCTTCCATTTCATAACATTAGCAGAAGCACAATGTCCGATCCGTGTATCTGTCATTTCTTCAGTGGAAGAAGAAAGGGGGGGGGGGGCTGATAAAGAAATCCTTTCTTGATGTAACCTGAATATATTTAATCTTATATCGAATTTGTATAACCCACACATGATACAATGGAGGGAGAAAAGCCAGATGGCCAGAACTATCACCTCTGAGAGGCACAGCCAGGAGATGAGAAGATCATAAAAATTCCACAGTGAGATCTGTCCTGGGAATCTCTGGAAAAGTTCGTTCTAAAAAGGAGGTGGGGGGAAATTAGGTATGCCCTGGGAAACTATGAAAAAGATCGTTCCTTACAAAAGGGGCGGGGAGGAATTAACCTACTGGCTTTTGTTTCACTAAATACACATCGAGATAAGGGGAGGGGTTCTAAACTCCCTTATGTATCACTGTATGCCTGAGAGACCTCAGACGCTGCTTTGAACTCCTACATGAATTGTCTCATCTCAATAAAGGATTCCTTTTTGATACGTTTTCATATGTTTTCATAAGTTCATTCTAGTTGAGTGAATGGGAAAAGTTCTGTAGCCTGACACACCCTGTGCAAAATTTAGCTCCAAAGTCTAGTAATAAAAGACTTAGGCCATTCTCATGCATCCGGAAGATCATGAAAATAATGCTAGAACAGAAGCTTCTTTCATAATGGGGAAAAATGAGAAAATGGAAGGCAGACTTTGACATGGCACATTATTTAAATGAGTGAGAAGTTTGTTCTTGAAGAGTGAACTGGTCTCTCCACAAGGGAATTGTCAGGAATATGAGTTTTAGTGGGGTAGCATATTCTCCCTCTGTGTCCTCAACAGTTTGATCAGTTCTAACAGGTTGAAATTATGGCTTGTTGAAAATGGTGTTTCTTCATGATAAGGTATCCATCCCTGAATGCAGGAGATTGCTGCCTGGAGAATTCTGGGAATTGAAGTCCACACATCTTAAAGTTGCCAAGGTTGAGAAAGAAGCATTGCTTTAGAGCTGTGTTTCTTAACCTTTGCAAGTTTAAGAAGTGTGGATTTCAACTTCCAGAATTCCCCTGCTAGCCTCTGGAAGTTGAAATCCACACAACCTAAACTTGGCGAGGTTGAGAAGCACTGCTTTAGAGCAAAGACCCAACCAATGAGAGGTGCTAGAGAACATTGGCTATTCTTGAAAGAAGTTGAGTGGGATTGGATCTGGCTGGCTGGGGAACTCTGGGAGTTGAAGTCCATAATCTTAAACGTTGCCAAAATTGAGAAGCACTGCCTAATTTAACAATTGCACTAATTTGCTTAACATTCATGGCAAAAAAAAGTTATAAAGTTGGGCATGTCTCACTTAACAACTGTCTTGCTTAGCAATGGAAATTCTGGTCCCAGCTGTGGTTGTACATAGATGACTAACTATACTTCCTTGTTCTCCTGGAACTCTTCATCTGGGGACAAGACAAAGCTCCTACTTTGTTCCAAGCACTTATTTTATGCAGTATTTCCTTTCTAAAACTACTTTCCACTGATTTTCTCTCATACCACTCAACAGAAACTTCCAAACTCACTTCCATATATTGTATAAGATCTATGTTTGGACAAAAGCTGGCGCAGGGGTCTAAGTCAGGAATAAGTAAAAAATGTGATGATGGAAGTCTCCACCACATAAATAGAGTTCTCCCCCCCTTTTTTACACATGTCCCCCTTATGACGCATGAAAAAGAAGGCCAGGTCTTTGATTATAGTCATCACCATCATTTTCATTTTTTTTACTCATCTCTATAGACTTCCTGTGGTGGGGTCTAAATTGTTTTCATGGTCTTTTTTTGCAGGAGATCTGTTGAGCTCTCTAATCCTTTTTGATGCAGTATTCCTTCCATGGGGGAAAATTGGAAAGAGAAAGTATAAGTGGACCTCACCAGTACTTTCAGATCTTTTGAAGTCTGCTGACTCATTCCAAATGCTCAAAAAGCCATGTCTGTCTGTCAAAATGCCACAACTTGGTTAATAATGAAGTCCAGGAGATTCCTTAGATCTCAGATAGTTGGCATTCAATAACTCAGTCACCTCTGATTCTTTGGGCTTCAATGGCATCATTTTAGCAGGACTGTCTGCCAATAACAGCTCCTTTGTGTCTTGTAAGATCATGGATGTGTCATCAGTGATATTGTCAACCTGTCTCCTCCTGTCATTTTTTATTATTATCTTCTATTTTTCCAAGCTGTGTGTTCCTGCACGTTGCAAAGCACTTCTTTCAAACACGTTGCACAAGACTCTACATTTAGCTAATTGAAATATTCCAATGAAACCCTTGTTTTTCTCAAAATGTCCTGCTTTTTTATGTCCATGCTGAAGTGATGTCCACTTGAGATAAATTCTTAGGATTCTGTCAGTGCCCAAGAGGGCAACTTTTTAAGCTTACTTGCACAGCAGTTTTGTTACCCTAATTACAGCAAAATGGGCTTCATGTATCAATTTTCCATGGTGGCAAGATGAAATGCCAACAAGACAGGAAAACAGACTGTGTTGAAGAAATTAAATTAAAAAGACATTTGCTCTTTTAATTGCTTTAAGAGAAGGAAACAGAGGCGGAGCACTTAAACTAAACTACCTTGTATTTTAAGTGTGAAAATCTGGACCTTCCACATCTTGATAAATATAAGGCTGGTGTCTTCCCTTGAGCTGTAACATTTCCCTAGAAGTCATTAGTCATATTAATTAGCAGACTGATGGTGTGTCCAATATCTACCCTTGGAGAAACTCTTCTATTTAGGCCGATACTCTGTCTTGAATTATTCCCTAAACCTCCTAAGGATGCTTGAAGAATTCAGTCTTTGCTAATTGTGTTAAGGGCTGACTTGAGACAGACCGCTTGATGAATATATACACTGGATTTTAGTTCCACTGATTTTTTAAAAAAATGTAAGTGCAGATGAATGTACTCATTTAAAAGGGAAAGAATTTTGGATTAAAGACATTGGAAAGAGATAAAGATGAGAAATACAGAAAGGCATTTCACTCTAAATTCATTTGGGGGGTGGGGTCAATAGCTGCAGGGGTTTAATGCATATACTGGCCCCATTGATGTAATTTTAGAGGTGGCATTCATCTCTGGTCTTCTCTTCCTTGCTTTTCCTCGGAGGTATAACCGTAGTTGATTTCTGTTTTAGCTGGCACAAGAAGGGGGTTAGGAAGCTCTGATCCCTCTTCTCCAAATACTGCATTCACTGCATCAAAATAATCTTGTGTGGCTTTCTTTGGGAAATCAAATATGTATATATGAGGTGTTTCCAAACTTTATATCCATGACCACCATCTAGTGAAGGGAGGGAGGGTTGATAGATTGTGAATGAGTCATTCATTGAGATCAAGTGAGGTCTTAAAAATGGGTCCCGGGAGACGTCAAAAACATTTTCTGAACTCTTTGAAAGTAAAGCAAACTGGGAACTACCCAAATCTGGAATGTTGCTGAACTGTAAGTCCCAGAATTCCTCATCATTGGCCTGGCTTCCTGGGACTGGTTTCAAAAAGGTTGGAAGTGGCCCAAATGGCATGCCTGCCCTCCAGGATGATGAGGTTCCCAACTACAAAGAGAGGAGATGGAATTCAGCCTAACAACAGAGAGAACAGGAGAACCAGAGGCCACTAATTGCCTATCTTCTCCCTTGTTTATTATCTCTAATGGCTAATGGCTCCTATTTCTCCCTCTCAGAGAGAATTCTCATGATGCTGAGGCCAAGTGACAAGCTAAAGCTGTAATATGATGGAAGCAATATCTCTCTCTCTCTCTCCCTCCCTCCCTCCCTCCCTCCCTCCCTCCCCCCTTCCCTCTCTCACTCTTTCCCTTAAAATAGTGAAAAAAGATTCCTGCTAAAAAGGGGGAGTCAGGCAGGCTTTGGGCAGAAATAAGCAAACCAATAACAATGGGGAAACAAAAACGATCATTTTGCGATGGTTTCTGTTGAAAGGGTCTCTCTCTTTCTTTCAATTTTTATGTCTCCTTTCTCATTCTTACAAGATTATGTGTGAGGTTTTTTTAATGTCACTCTAAAGGGGATATTTTATTTTATTCATTTATTTTGAATGACCCCTGTTTCCCTTACAACCATGCAAAACTTATTATTTTAATCTTGAACCACTATTTTTCCATGGTAGGCTACCCCAGAGTTGAATATATCTATTCTGAATACAGTGGCTAGTTTTACATGATCCTCCAAACATCTCAACTACACACAAATTTGAAAAGCTCGGAGTTCAATGGATGATGTGTTATCATGTTGAGGACAGAGAAATTTAATTAAAGTTGGTACAAAATTAAAAAAAAAATCCCTGGGAAGTTTATTATTTATTTATTTGATTTGATTTGATTTATATTGCCACCTATTCACCCATGGCGACTCAAGGCAGCTTACACAATGTAAAATCATATTTAAAATAAAAAATATAAATAAAAACAATAAGAACTAACTAAAAGAATCAAATAAATTAGTAAAGTACAATAGAACAAAATTTGGGAAAAAAAGAAAACAAACAAAAACCAACTCCCTCACCCCAATGACAGCGGGTCACACTAGCCATCTGATGGGTTCCATCCCTCTCTGGGTTCCCCAGGCCTGCTGGCAAAACCAGGTTCTTCGGTGCCTTTCAGAATAGTATTAACAAGGGGGGCATTCTAATATCTGGGGGAATGATATTCCAGAGAGATGGAGCCACCACAGAGAAGGCCCTTCTTCTAGGTCCCACCAGGTGTGGGACCCGTAGCAGTCCCTGCCTCCTCGCTCTAATGGGTCGGGTAGATGTCACTGGCAAAGAAATGTTTCCTCAGATAACCTGGTCCCAAGCCATGAAGGGCTTTAAAGGTGATAACCAGCACCTTGAATTGCACCTGGAAGCAAATCAGCAGCCAATGCAGCTCCTGCAGGAGAGGTGATACATGTGCACACCGGGGTCTGCATGAAACCATGCGAACTGCTGCATTTTGCATAACTGGAGCTTCTGGATGCTCTTCAAGGGCAGCCCCATGTAGAGCGCATTGTAATAATCAAGATGGGAAGTGACCAGGGCATGAGTGACTGTGACCACTAATCCAGGAAAGGGCGTAACTGGTGCACAACCTGCAGTTGCATAAAGCCTCCTGGCCATGACCACCACCTGCTCTTTGAACAGGAGTTGTGAGTCCAGGAAAATCCCTAGATTACACACAGGGTCTGTTTGAGGTAGTGCCACCCCATCCAAGACTAAAGGTGGTAATTCTCCCTGAACCAACGAACCCCAGACCCAGAGCCACTCGGTCTTGCAAGGGTTTAGTTTCAACCTGCTGCTCTCCATCCAGCCCCCAACAGCCTCCAGGCACTGCGAGAGGGAGGACACAGCAACACTTAACTCACCATGGGCCGAGACATACAGCTGAGTATCATCAGCATATTGGTGATACCTCAGTCCATGGTGACAGATGATCTCACCCAGCGGTTTCATATAAATATTGAACAGGAGCAGAGAGAGTACCGAGCCCTGCGGAACCCCGTAAAGCAGTGGGTGAGGGTTGGATCTCTCCCCTCCTATCAACACTGACTGAGAGCAGCTGCAGAGGAAGGAAGTGAACCAAGACAGCACAAGGCCTCCCACTCCCATCTCCCGAAACCATCCCAGGAGAATCCCATGCTCAATGGAATCAAAAGCTGCTGAGAGGTCAAGTAGAGCAAGGATGGATGCACTACCCCCATCCCGCTCTTGCGAAAGATCATCTAAAAGTACAACCAATGCTGTTTCTGTCCCAAATCCAGGCCTGAATCCTGACTGGTAGGTGTCGAGATAATCCGTTTCATCCAGAAACCTCTGGAGCTGTTGCGCGACCACCTTCTCAACAACCTTCCCCCAAAAGGGAAGATTGGAGACAGGTCGAAAATTATCCAACCGAGTGGAGTCCACCTATAGCTTCTTAAGAAGAGGGCGGACCACAGCCTTCTTAAAAGTGCTGGGGCACCGTCCCCTCCTGTAGAGAAGCATTAATCACCACCAGAGTCCACCTGCCTGTCATCTCCTGGGAAGCTTTCGCAAGCCAGGAGGGACATGGGTCTAAAATACAGGTGCTCGGGTGTATATTCCCTAGGATCCTGTCCACTTCCTCAGGAGCAACAGGGTCAAACCGTTCCCAGATAACAGGGCAAGAACCTGCTTCAGAAGCTTCCACCAGATCAGCAACCACGCCGGCATCTAACTGGATGTGAATTGTACACTCCTATCTGAGATAATCTGTTGGGGAGCTCCATGAAAATCCACAAATTCCTCAGCATGCCCCTTCAGGTGGAATTAGTGTGGAGAAGTATTTACACTTCGCCTCATGAATCGCCACAAGGTAGGCCTTAGTAGCAGCTCTTACCCGTGTTTGATTGAGTTCATCTCCTGTCTTCCGCCAGCAGCGCTCTAGATGTCTCCTCATGCGTTTCATCCCTCTCAGTTCCTCTGTATACCACAGGGCACAGAGATGTCTACGGGTGAGGAGAGGTCACAAGGGTGCAATCCTATCCTGAGCCTCAGTCACCTTCTTATTCCAAACAGTGACTAAGAGCTCAGATGGACTGCATAATAAATCTGCAGTTATAACCCCCAGCTCCTTCTGGAACCTATCTGGGTCCATTACTTGATGGGGGCGTTACCACCTCCATAAATAATCTCGTGTTAAAGCAGTGGGCTAGAAAGCAGGAGACCTTGAATTCAGGTCCCATCTTAGCCATGAAAGCCATCTGGGTGACTTTGGGTCAGTCACTCTCTCTCAGCCCAACTAACTTCACCAGGTTGTTGTTGTGGAGAAAATAGGAGAGGAAGAAGTGTTGGATATTTTTGCCATCTTGAGTTATTTGTAAAAATAATAAAGTTGAAATAAAAATAAATACGTAATTTGGGTTTCCTCTTAAGACTCTGGAGGGCTGGCATAAGCTGTGAAGTTTCTTTTTCCCCTTGTTCATGGGACCAAGAAGATGAGCAGGGGGAAGCCATTACAAACTCAAAACAGCCTGTAAAGGATACATTCTCTTTCTGAACTGGATGGAAATCAAAGCAAAAGAAAAGCAAGGAACTTACAATGACAGACAGGGAGCGGGCGGTCCCAAATGCCATCGCCCTGGCAGGTGAGCACATGGGTGCCCAGTAAATAATATCCATGGTTGCATTGATAAGAGACGGTTGTTCCAAAACTGTATCTATGAGGCCCATTTGGTTGCACTTGACGAACACAGTTTTCCAGGTGTCCAGGATCAGTACAATTTACAACTGCAAGCAAATCATAGAAGATAAAAAGAATATTATCAGCAAAAAAATGAAAAAAGTATTACAAAGAAGGAAAACACTTTCTCCCTCCCAGTTTTGAAAATAACATGGGAGGAGAGTAGATCAAATCAGGGGTATTTATGGGTGTAAGCAAAAATATAGTGGCTGCAAACTGAAGGCACAACTGAAGTGCTACCTCTTTTTCACATGTATAATCCATGCGACACACATCAAAAGGGGGTAGGGCTCTGATTATGTAGTTGTAGCAGCCGTCCTGACTTTTTAAATCCTTCCCACCAATGCCACTGCATCAAATCCTAATGTGAAAATATTTTACCGTTTGGTTCTCCTCTGTGATGGAATGTAGTCTGGATTTCTAGGAGGAAGGGGTTGCATCCCAGAGGAGCTACATATGATAAAGTTTATGCAGAAGGAAGTTTGTGCAGGAGAAAAAAAATTAAGACAGTTCCTCCCTAGAAGTTCTCAGAATGGTGCAAGCGGTAGCTTTAGTTTGACAAATTTCTGTCTAATGGTGAGGAATAATAAAGGAAACTACTTGGTAGGACCTCAGTATGTCTTTCTTGATTTTCAATTTATTTCCAATTTATTCCAATTTATTTAATGCTGAGGTTTAAATATTTATTGTAATATGGTGCTCAGAATTTAACATTCTGAAAAGGGAGAGGGAGAATGAGAGGGGAAGGGGGAAAAAAGGGGGAGAGGGAGGGAGAGGGAGAGAGAGGGGCGGGCAGACAGACAGACAGACAGAGACAGAGTAATAGAGATTTTGCTAAAATGAATTACTCAAACCCAGAAGAATCTGGAAATCAAAATCCAGTTGAAATCTTTAAGCAAGAATACAATTGTCATTCGTCTAGTTGGGTGTTTGGTCCAGGGCCTTCAATTGCCCATTGTAACTACAACAATTTATGTATTGCTGTCATGCATATACTCTGAAATTGTGAAATTCTTTTGGCCCTTCCAATTTATTTAATGCTGAGGTTTAAATATTTATTGTAATATGGTGCTCAGAATGCACTAGGTATTCTTGGCAAAAGGTATGCCCCATTTGAGTGGGAGGTCCATCTCTTCCTTTGCTCTTCTGTTTTTTGCACATTTCCCCCTTGTTTTCATTTGTTCATAGAAAAAGTGCTATAAGGAGAAGGCTCTGTTTCTTTTCATGTAAAAGGTAAAAATAGTCCTTGGTGCTGGTGCTCTTTGAGTTCAACCCAGAGCTGTATATATTCTCTTCTACTGTACTGAAAAGAGGTGGTTGTTTAACTAGAACTCATTGAAGAAGCAAAACTAAACAACACTCTAAATGCTTTATGCCTTCCACGACACTCATTTAAATAATGATTGAAACATTATAATTATGTATTTTGGACACACTTCTTTTAGTTTCTGTTTTTATGATTTTACAGTTTTTGCCATTTTAATGTGATTGTGAGCCGCCCAGAATTGTGATTTAAGATGGGTAGCCATGCAAATCTTTTAAATGAAATAAATAATGTTATAGTCTGATTTTAGTTTTAATCACCACCAAGCCATTAGGCACGGGATGTGTCTTTTTATCTATGCTTTCCACATGACACTGAAGCTGAACTGTACTGAGCTAAAGACCCCTCTTTCTTTTAAGAATCTGCTGGGGCACATTGAAAAGAAACACAGCCAGGTTGTGCTGACGGGAGTTCCATCAGAAGAGATGCTGCTCCGGGCGGTAGAACAGATTTAGATTGCAGAAATAAAGAGGGGAGGAGAAGGATGGGGATAGAGAAATACAACTTACTGCGACAGATGGGTAAGGGTTTATTCCACTGGCCATTAGCCAAGCATTGGGACTTGGAAGTCCCTTCAAGGCGATATCCAATGTTGCATGTAAACTTGGCCACATCATTGAGATTGAACTGAGAGCCTTGGGTCAGGCCATTTGTTGGATTGCCTGGGTGACCACAGGTGATGGCTGCAGAGAGAATGCAAGGTATTACATCCCTGCCTTATTCCCCGGCTCAAGGACATACAAATGCCAACTACAATAGAATGAAGTGAGATTTCTCCCAGGGTTGCCCATCTTCTAGCAGCATCTGATTTCTTTTCAAGCCATACTATGAAAACCACCCCCTTTCCCTTTCTAGGTTGACCCTTAACTAAGTTTAGCAGCAGGTTTTTAAAGGTTGGCAAAGGAGTCCCAAAGGTTTTTGTTTTTTTTCCAAAAGGCAGCTAGACTTTCTAGTTTTTTTTTTTCTTTGAAAACATTTCACTTCTCATCCAAGAAGTTACTTCAGTTTTCAAAGAAAAAAAGAAAGTCCAGTTGCCTTTTGGAAAATGGCAAATATGACCTGGATGATTGAGAATCCCCATAGACAGTTGGAAAAGGAGGGCATTTGAAAGGAGAACTGTATTTTAGCCACAGAGTTTTTTCAGAGTTTTCTGGCCTTTACCAGTCCCTCCCCATTTCTGCCAGACATTGTTATTTGGATATTTTCTCAGGAACATGGTGCTTTCCACAGTGTAGGTAACCAACGGACAAATCCAAATAATTGCTTTCAACTCTTGTCTGTCAAGAAGAGCTTGACCACTGCTGCCTTAAATAAAAGTAGAACAACTATGGAAAAAAAAAACCTAAATAGTATTAATAGTAATAGGTGCCTTGGGTGCAATTCCAAAACATTAAGAGCACCAAAATCACCACCAGTCAATTACAAAAGGCAGATTTATTTGGTACATACCTCTAAGACCATCAAACATCCACGTCTGCCTATCCCAGGTCCTTGGGAAGGACTTGATAGGTGGATAAAAATGCCAATCCAATCTAAAGATTTGGCTGACTGTGCAGTAATAATAATGCCTATTATTGTTGTTGTTGTTGTTGTACACAAAAATGACAGTCTACACAGCTGACGAGATAACCATGCTGGGTTTCGTATCACAAATCACTTGTTGAACACTTCCCAAGGGTTTAGGACTGTGTGATGTATCGGCGGATTATGCGAGCTGATCCCAGTAAGGTGGCCTTCTGCAGCTGATCAATGGTGATTTTGTCAGTGCCAATTGTTTTTAAGTGCTTGCCGAGGTCTTTAGGCACAGCACCCAGTGTGCTGAGTACCACTGGAACCACCTGCACTGGTTTATGCCAGAGTCTCTGCAGTTCGATTCTCAAGTCCTGATATCTGGTGACTTTTTCAAGTTGTTTCTTGTCGATTCTACTATCACCAGGTATGGCAATGTCAATGATCCACACTTTTTTCTTCTCCACAGTCATGATATTCAGGGTATTGTATTCCAGAACTTTGTCAGTCTGTATTCGGAAGTCCCACAGTAGTTTTGCATGCTCATTTTCAACCACTTTTTCAGGCTTATGATCCCACCAGTTCTTTGCTACAGGCAGATGGTAGTTGTGACACAAGTTCCAGTGGACCATCTGAGCAACTGTGTTGTGATGTTGTTCGTAGTCACTCTGAGTGATTGTCTTACAACAGCTCAGTATATGATCAATGGTTTCATCCTCTTCTTTGCAGAGTCTGCATTTGGGGTCATCAGCAGCTTTTTCTATTCTGGCTTTGATTACATTCGTTCTGATGGCTTGTTCTTGGGCTGCAAGAATCAGGCCTTCTGTTTCTTTCTTCAGTGTTCCGTTGGTCAGCCATAACTAGGTCTTTTCCTTATCTACTTTTCCTTGGATCTTTTCAAGGAACTGTCCATGCAGTGTTTATTATTATTGTTGTTGTTGTTGTTGTTGTTGTTATTGTCTGTTGCACAGTCAGCCAGATGTTCAGACTGGACTCTACCTATCAAGTCCTTTCCAAGAACATGAGATAGGCAGATGTGGTTGTTTAATGGTGTTTCAGATTTTGTCACAGGACGATTATATTATTATTATATTATCAATTAATAATAATGGAAATATGGTTAAGGTTCATCCATACAAGTATCACAGGAAGCCTAACCTCTGAAGCTATGAAAATTTGTGCAAATTATCTTAATTTGGTGAAGGCTAAATGTTTTAATGCAGTTTAGCTCAATGTTTTAATGCAGTTGTATATCAAGGTGTTAAGGTAGATGGTAGCATATAGCTCACCTTGACTAATTTAAAAAAAAAACCACAATTGAACATGATAGGTCATAGGATTTTTTTTTAAATCCCAGAAAAAAATATTAAACCATTTATATATCATTACCAAGAAAACTACAGTATATGAATGTCTTCGTACAATCATCATAAGCTGCACTTAACCTGAAGCAAGAATTTCTCTTTTCGACACTTAAGAGAAATGACTGTCACAGAAAATCTCCTCTACATTCCCCCCATGGATCCAACTTAACCAAGCTTATCAACTCACATGTGTAATGTTAAAACCCTCAGAGCTATACACTCATTGAAACAGAATACGGTTTCCTAAAAGTATATGGGGAAATAAAACAAAGGGCATGCTACAATATGTCCCTTAAAATAGTGAAATAGCACACTGTAACTTAAAATGCTGTAGGCCACAAGAAAATCTTGCAAATTAAACAGTTTTTTAGTTCTTTAATTCCTACAGGTTCACCTATTATAAAATATGCTGGAAAGAGGGATTTTTCCAGATTCCAACATTACTATTGTGGTTTGAGGTATTTGAGTGTTATATCCCACTATTGTGGGAGAACAACACAATTGTTCCAACCCATTCTCATTTCCGAGACCTCAATTTTTCCTCAAGGGTGCTTATTAGTTATCTTATGGAAAGGGATGAGAGCCTGATCCTGGAGCGCTAACCTTCCAGTAAAACTGCTGCACAAACTGCCGCCTACATCATCGATCATCTGCAATCGTCAAATCGTCAATGAATACTTCAGCTTCAACCAAAACAATACAAGAGCACTAAATAGATACAAACTAAAGATAAACCGCACCAAACTTGATTGCAGGAAATACGACTTCAGCAACAGAGTGGTCAATGTCTGGAATACTCTACCTGACTCTGTGGTTTCTTCCCCAAACCCCAAAAACTTTAACCTTAGACTGTCTACTACTGACCTCACCCCTTTCCTAAGAGGGGGCATGCATAAGCGCACCAAAACGTGCCTACCGTCCCTGTCCTATTGTTTCTTTCTTTTTTTCTTATTCAAATCCATTTCATGTATTTATAACCATGTTTATACTTATACCTGTTATCTAATAATTGTTTGACAATATAAATAAATAAAAAATAAATAAATAATTATACAGAATGGAACATCAAGCAGGTTATATACTTTGCTATTGACATTGTGAAACTAAGAAGAACGGGTTGAAATAAACCAGAAAGAATTAAGATCAGATTGGATGATAAAACAGGTTTTCAAATTTGAACAGTAGAATTAATCACCTGCCAAGGGGAGAGGGAGGAGGCCCTGAAAAGATTTATTTCATATCAGAAAGTGAGCAAGAAAGAAAAATGATGGCTCAAACAGCAATATTAACAGAAATATTTTTGAATAATGAGCATATATGGCAGCAACTGACGTTTGCACTTATATTGCTCTTGTCTAGCCCAACCATAGAACTTTCTTGCTCCTTATAAATACAACAGATATTTCTGACTGTCAGAAGATTTGGGAATTATTGCCTGTGTGGTAGGTCATAATGAGGAAAGGACCCCAGGGATGATCTTGCTCCTGTAAAGACTCAAAAGTCGCAATTTGGACTACAGTTTTAGCCACTAGTAGCACAATTGAATCATAGGGCTGGAAGTGGACACTGGAGGTCAAAGCAGGAGACCTTATACTACCCTGGTCAAATGATTGTCCAGTGTATTTTTGAATAGTACCCACAACTCCAAGGGGCAAGGTATTCCATTGATAGTTCTCATTATCAGAAAATTTCCCCTTACTTTTAGGTTGGATCTCTCTTTAATAAGCTTCCACCTACTAGTCCTTATTCTGCCATCTGGTGCTTTGGAAAATAAGTCAATCCCCTTTTCTCTGTGATAGCCCGTCAAGTACTGGGAGAGAGTTATCATGTCACCTCAATCCTTCTCTTCGATAGACAGTTACCTAGCTCCCTCAACCCTCATACAATTTAGCTCCCAAACCCTATTTCATCTTTGTTGCTCTTCTCTGCACACTTTCCAGGATCTCAGCATCTTTTTTGTATTGCTCAAAGAGGAAAGGAGAAATAAAAGCTGCTTCTTAATTACTAAAACGTCTTCTATCCAACCCCAAGTAAGGGATCTGAATTTGAACCCATTGCTTTTCTTTTCCTCTTGGAAAAGCTTAAGTCTGTTGTGCGTCTCACAGGTAGAATCAAAGGTTTTCTCTATTCCTTGCAGGCTCTAGCAAAATGCATTAGACATTCACAATGAGAAGAGAAGGTGGCTGAGCAACTGCATGGAAAACTAGTCAAACAATGTTAATTACAGGTTTTAAGCAACTTGGTTTTTTTCCCTATGTGGTCTCATTGCTGTCACATACATGGAGGATTAGCAAACTGATCTTCCCACAGGTAGGTGCTCTGTCAAAATTTTTAGGATTTGTTTTGGCATCTTATATCCATCTTAAAATGCCCTTTAAATACATATGATTAATTTAAGACCCCAAGAGGAAGGCCTGTAGTGAAATTATTGAGCATTCTTTAGCAAACAAATTACTACTGGTGAATGCAAAGTAAGAGAAATAACAATAGAAACAGAATCAGATCAAATATATGCTCAGCTGAGCATACCCTTTCATATGAATGCAACCAAACTACTCTGGAACAGGAGAAAAAGGGTGTTTTCTTTGAAGCTCAAGGTAGCATAAATCCATGATGACTTGTGAACCTTGACAGATTTGTCCTTCTTTATAGAAATTGAATCTCTTGCAGATCCATCCAAGTGAATTGTTAAGTGGAACTCTTGCCTCCCACAGTTGCTTTATCACTGGAGCTTTTCAAGAAAAGATAGAACAACCATTTGTCCAAGATGGTATAAGGACCTTGGACAAATGAAGGTTGGACTGGAAGACCTTCAAGGTCCCTTTCACCTTACGATTCCATGATATTTGTATGATATTTGTTATAGAGGAAAAGACTTAACAGAAATAAAGTCTGGAGTGAGCTCATAATCAAACTAACAGTGGATCTTCCGATAAAACTGAGTGAACCAAAATTGTAGGATAGCTTAATTTTCCTAGGATGCATCTTTGAATATTTCAGAAATCATATTTTTGATCTTAGTAAAGTATGCAATCCTTAGAAGCTCTGCTTTTACCACATTTTAACTGGGTCTGCAGAAGGGAGTGAGGCATTCTAGAAATATGAAAGGATGGACCAGTGATCCCAATCAATTAGCCAAAGTATCTTATGTTTTGCTCTAAACCTCCTATACATGGCTAACAATCTCATCACTTTACTCAAGTTGTGGAAACATCTAAATTCATTCAATTGGCCCATTTTGCAAATTTAGTTCTCCAAGAAAAGGAGCTGGAGAGAAAGTGGCTGAAAAATCAAAAATCAAAAGTTACTCCCTTACTGAGCTAACTGGCAGCACTGAACATACATTTCAAAACAGGCTGGTGTGACCAAGCTATGCCTATTACTACTAGTGAAAAGGGGCTAATGAATTGATGTAACCTTGTCAGGGGAAAAAAATGGCTGGAGCTTCAGTTAATTCCAAAACTGGTGTCTATGGAGATTCTCAATCATCCAGGTCATGGTTGTCCCAAAGATGCTTTTCTAAAAGGCAACTGGACTTTTTGTTCCTTAAAAAGTTTCAGTTATCATCCAAGAAGCTTCTTTACTTCTTAGAACTTCAGTTCTTCAGAACGGAAGAAGCTTTTTGGATGAGAAGTGAAACATTTTCAAGGAAAACAAAAATAAAAAGTCAAGTTGCCATTTAGAAAAGCACTTTTGGGACATTCAAAACTGGTGACTTTGAACCAGAATGATTCCTATTGGATTTCATAACATTTTATTAAATGTTTGCTACTTATTCCCAAAGGCTTTGGGTGGCCCACAGCAATCAAAGAGAGAAATTGCAATAAAACAGATAATTAGGAAAAAAATAAAGGTGAAAGAGAGCAGAAGTGATAAACCAGATGGAGTCTCAGGACTCTCAAAAATCCTTCCGTAATCTTATGCTAGACTACTGAAACTTGCAAGATTTTTGGCAACTAAGGAGCAGGAGTAGGCTTCAAATTTTTAGCAAGGGGCTCTCTGCCTTAATGACTGGCTGGCTGGGCGTGACTGGGTGTGTGTGGCCAACTCGACATTGGTTGTTTGCTCTAATTACCTAAAAAAAGATAATATACCAAAATATTGTTCATTATTTCATGCATTTAATACTTAAATAAAAGACTGGGTGAAACCAGGCTTAATAGCAGTGACTGTGAGAGGGATCTAGGCGATCTACTTCATGGAGTTTCTGGTGAATTATGTGATTCTTATTATTGGGAATTAATCCCCTCAGAGGCCAGTGGCTATGTGATCTGATTTTCTCAATGGCTCTCCCTCTCAAGCACTGAGTGGATTATTTATCTAGCTTGCAACACTTTTACGAGGTGTGAAATGCTCTTGGCTGAATGCCCAGAAGTTCAATTAAGCCTATTAAGAGTTTTCCCTTGCTGCTTGTCTTTCTGAAGTTATTGAGGGCTCTCTGCGTCCTGCAGTCTTAGCTAGGGGTTCTCCCGAGCCCCTGCGAGCCCCCAGCAGCCCACCCCTGCTAGGGAGGCAACTGGGGAATCAGGATTGGGAAATGGGGCAGCTGCACCTTCACCCTCTGTTTTTTCTTTTCTTCCTGAGCTCTCTATCAAAGTTGTGAGTCAGGCTGTGTAATTAAAATGGCAACATACTTACGCACACAAACAGGAGTCTTCCCAGACCAGTGGTGATCTTGCTGGCAGATGCGGACTGACATGCCAATGAGCCGGAAGCCAGGGTTGCACTGGTACACTACACTGCCACGGTAATTGTAGTTGTCTCCATTGATCTGGCCATTGACTATAGAACCTGGCTCACCACAGTGACCCGCTGGGGGGACAAGTAAACAGGAGGAGGTAGAATTACTGAGAGTCCAATATAGAACGAACCCTTCCTGGATACCTGGTTTCCTGTTGTACTTTAGGAAAGTTACTACAGATGTTGCCTTAATTCAGAAAATTCTTAATGCAATATAAAATGGAAACCAGGAGTTTTTCTTTTAGGGATATTGGAGAAAGAGCTTGAAAAAAAATGGAACTTTGTTATTATATGTGCTGATGGTGGTGTGAAACTTCTATGCACAAAAATGGAAAGACCCTAAGTTAATGCCCACAATGGAAGAACAGGTGGAAAAAGTGATAGAGTTGGTGGAGAAGGCAACACTAATTATCTTACATTAACAAGAAAAACTTAGTCAGTTTTGTTTCCACTTGGAAACCGCTTCTGGACTTTATGCTCAAGATAGAAAAAAATTGAAATTTTGATTTTTGGTCCCTAAAAGAACTTGTTCCTACATTGTTTATTTGTGCATCCTCTCTTGGATATAAAGAAGAAGAAGATATAAAGAAGAACCCCTTTCTTTATATGGGTGGTGAGTCAACATTGCCAAGAGAGTGTTAAAATTATTAGTTTTTTAGATATTTATAGGGTTTTTTACCCACTGCTAATATTTTTTTAAAAGATACGTTCAATTATATCAGGTTTCCAAAGATGGCATCAGGCAACTCCGACAATGAGAGAGAAGTGGAAAAGTCTTTTGTATGTATTAAACAGGTATAAAACTGAGATAAAAGAAGAACAGCAGCAAGAATCCATTACAGTTTTCATTAATTCTGTTTATTAAGACTATTCGAGACATTTCTCCATCTGGAGCTGATAATAAAGTGTAAAATGAGGTTTAATTTAACCAAAAGCAAAATAAAAGTACTTCTGGTAGCAAGAGGCTTGTCTGATATAGTATTTCATCCTTCAGCAAGAAGAAAAAAGAAATGATACAAATTAAAAGCAGCTGGTTAAAATATACCTTATACATTTATCAACTGACATTGTGGTGGATTAACCCATTGCTTTCATCTGACCTTGCAGTTCTTTTGAAAGATGGATGCAGAAACATCCTCTGAATGGTCCCCTAAGTCTCCTATTTGGGGCTCAGAATGGCCCCCAGCTGATCAGGTTGACATTAGTCTTGTACTCACCCAGGCATGTCACTTCTAGTCCGCTCCAAAGACCATTGGCCATACATTCTCGCACACGAGAGCCCACTAAGGTGTAGCCACTATTGCAGGAGAAAATTGCAGTAGCTCCATAAGAGGTTAAGGTTCCAATCCTGTTTCCATTGGATGGCACGGGCAAGTCTCCACAGGAGATGACTGAAATTAATAGACACACACAAACAAACTTAGTTAATATAGGTAATAAAGCATCTCAGGTATTGTTCTAGAATTGAGTTTGTCCATTCACAGCCATTTGTCTGTGGATAGTGTGAAGAACTAGGTCCCTGGTCTGTGCCTAATAGGTCCAGAAAGGCTCTCCAGAACTTTGACATGAATTGGACCCCCCTCCTGTGTCCAAGATGATATGTTGGGGAGCTTCATGCAGTCTATAAATGTGGTATAAAAATAATTTTGGCAAGTCCTGTTGCTGTTGGTATCTTCTGGCATGGAATGAAATGCATCTGTTTTGAAAACAGATCTGTCACCACCCAAATGACATTTCATATATTCTTTTGGGGAGTTCCACAATAAAGTCCATAGAGATCTCTCTCCAGGGACCTATCAAAGGACAAAGGAGAGCTCACTGTTTCTTCAGATATGGGTGTGTATGTTACAGTAAGTTGCAGATTGTTGAATCATCCTTTATTTAATCAACCTCAAGTGGATAGTTTTGTAGAACATAGGATGGAGGATTTCACGGTACTCGTTAAAATGCATTTTAGCATGCTGTCAAGAAGTAACTAAGTCTTGTGACTTTACAACTCCTAAGCCAAGTTTTGTGGATTCCCAAATCCTCTTTACAAAACTTTGGCAACAAAAAGTGAGACTTGAGGTGGCATGATTTTTTAATAAGAAAATAATTTTAGCTATAAAATTGGTGTGCTAGGTTTTATTAAGTGATACATCACTAAGAACATATTCCAGAACCTTTTCCAACCATATAATTTTTTGGGAATAAAAGTGGTTCCTTATTAAAAAAAAAAACACCTGTATTTTTATTAATTAATTTTATTTGTCTGCTACCCATTCCCAAATGTGGAAGGTGAATAATATCAAAATAATGTAAAGCAGTGTTTCTCAACCTCAGCAGCTTTAAGATGTGTGGACTTCAATGCCCAGAATTCCCCAGCCGGCTTGGCGTTGAAGTCCATGCATCTTAAAACTGCTGAGGTTGAGAAATATTGATGTAAAGAGTAATGGCCACAAAAAAAAATCCCCATCCTTCAATATGCATGAAACAACACAATCACATGAACCTTCCCCCAAATGCATAGGTTATATGATTGCAGCTTCCAAAGTATTGGGGTCACCAAAATACATTGAAATATACCTATTACTGCTCAGGTCATAACATCCTATGCCAGCTGTAGCATCTGAATGCTCTTGTAGAGCACTTTACAGTTATCCAAACAAGAGGTAAGTAGGGCATGAATGAGTGTAAGTAGAACCTCCTGGCTTGGGAATGTCTACAATTAGTGCACATGATGTTATTATGTGGACGGCCCTCCTAGTCACAGCTGCCATCAGCTCATCCAGCAAAAACTGTGAGTCTAGAACTGGGCTGTCAAACTCCTGGTCTGTGGGCCGGATGTGTCACACGTGGCCACGCCCATGTCCAGTTAAGCGAAGAGGAAAAAAGTCCTGATACATCACACGATGCCACCATGATGATGTGAGTTTGACACCCCTGGTCTAGAAAGATCTCACATTGTGGACAGCTTCTGAATGGTGAGGTGGGTGGATGGGGGGGTTTACAATGCCTTTCTGAGTCAGATAGGATTTCCCTGGAATTTAGGCCTATGGATCCAAAACCAGTCTGTCTTGGAGGAATTCGAGCAGTCTGTTTCTCACTATCTAGGCCTTGGAGTCTCCAAGCATGCAATCACCTGTTTGTCCCAGGATGAAATGTATAATTGGGTATTATCAACGTGATTGATGGTACTAAACAGTGCTGATTTTCCCTAGCAATTTCATTTACATTTGGAAAAGAAATGACAAACAAAGAGAGACCTAAGGCATGCCACAAAGTAGAAGTCTTTGGGCCAAACGTCTCCCATGCCATGCCATGCCATGCCATGCCATCCCTACACAGGAATTTTAACTCCAGGAAGGAAGAGAACATTGCAAAACAGTGTTATGAACTCCAATTCCTCAAAGATGGTGCAAGAAGATAGCATAGTTGATAGCATCAAATGCTGCTGAGAGATCATGGAGGACCAGATTTCAGTCACTTCACAGATCAACCCCAAGCACAGCCAATACAGTTTCCATGCTATATGTGTCAGCCCTGGTGTGCCTGGAAGCCCAGGGCTGCCATTCCGGTGGGAAACAGAAAAACAGAGATTGCCTTTTCCGTAGGGACTCAAGAACGGCACAGCAACCATGACGCTAAACTCACCGGACCGCTGAGCCCACGCCAGGCCTGCTGCCGCTGATGAAATAAACGCCAAAGAGCTATTGGCCAGCCATGTGGCTGAAGCAAAGGCAGATGCTTGAGAGAATGAGCACTGAGTGTGGCTGGCGATGGAACTCTACTGGCCTCCCTGCTTAATGTCAACTGAATCGGCTTAGGGAAGAATGGGGGTGGGGCACGCATGTGAGAGGCTAGGCAGGCTAGGGAACATTTCAAAACTGGTGAGACATCAACTGGACACTTAGTCCTGACTTTGAATTTACAACTGATGTATGTCAGTTCATGCCAATGTTTGTGAGAGATAAATTTAAATTTCAAAACTGTGTTTTGAATTTTTGTTTTTCTTTCTCACTTTACATTGGAACCTGACAATATCCTGGCCTGAATCAATTACTGCTAAGACAAATAATCTTCTTCCTGTAGGGCTTTCTGAAGATACAGAAGCACCACTTTCTTTATAATCTTTCCTAAGAAGGGAAATTTGGAGATGGGTTTAACATTTTTTCAGAACATCAAACTGAACAAAGACTTTTAAAGCAGGACACTTCCCACCACCTCTTTCAAAACTGAGGTAAATATCATCTCAAAACCAGTTGGCTACTGCTCAAATCCAACCTTCTGCCACCTTATGGGAGGCTTTAACTAACTATGTGGAACAGTGATCAATTGGAAAGCAGCACAGCTAGCACTTTATTTATTTATCAAATTTATTTGCAGAGACTTAGCTGCTTCCTCAAGACTCATAAACTCAAACTGACTCTTTCATTAGACAAAGCCACAGTCACTATTAGCCTTATGGAACATCCTTCTCCCTGATATTAAGAAAGCTCTATCCCCTGTCACATTCCAGAAGTCCCTCAAGACCTAATTATTGAAGCAATAATGGGTCATCCAGGGAACTGGAGAGTTGCTTAAACAACTTCATTGTGGCCATTCTTACTTATCCTTTCTTTGAGTACATTTGTTTTATGATATTTATTTTTTAACCTGGAAAGTATATTTTTATATTTCTTGTTTCTTATATATTTACACATTTCTTGTATTTGCTGTTACTCACTTGTTTTACAAGCCCAGCCCACCCCAGTGTCATATTATCCTCCCAGATGCACACACTGTTATATTCCTTTTGATTTCTCATTCCTAAAACACACACTCACTTCTACAGGTCGGCATAGGTTCTCCTATGCTCCATTTCCCATTCGCCTGGCAGCCAATGACACGATACCCAATGTAATAGTAGCCTGGGTCACAGATCAACATGAGTTGTGCGTTGTACTGGTACTGAGTTTCATGGATCAGCCTCCATCTCCCATGTTCCACAGCAATGCTGCTGATGTCAGGACAGCTGACCGCTGGATTCACCAAGAGATGAAAAGAGAAACAATCTTAAGTCACACTAAAGGCCCATTCATCTGTCTGTTCTAACTGAGAACAACCAGCTGAAAGCTATAAATAAGAGGAGAATGTTGTATTTGTCATTGTCACTGAACAGTCTGAACTGAATTTGTTCTAAACTGGTGGTCATTTGGAAACGGATCCAAATTTGTCACAAAGCTGAATGAAGTGAGGATACAAACCTCTGAGGCAACATTGAATTATTTCTGAACAAGGGGAACGATGAACCTGATAACTAAGTGGAACATTAGTATCTATAGGAGGACAACAGATGGGAAGGCAAGTCTATTAAAGGTGTTTAGCAGTGTCAGCTAGAAATTGAGCTTCCACCTTTTGATATAACACATACTTGCATATAATAGAAAAAAATCAATATAGAAAGAGTTACATCTGCATAGGAAGTTCTATCTCAAAGAAACTAAAGCATGTGCAGAGAAGGGAAAAAAAGTGACTTAAATTGCTCCACCAAAACCATGGACAAAATTATCTGGGAAGATGATTTTTTTGAGTTTCTCAATATAGAATCTCCCTTCACCAGCAGAGTAGCAGCCCAGCTAAAAAAGGTCCAGCAGGAGGATTTCACTCATGAGATCTTTCTTTGGGTTCGCATAAAAGAAAATATCTGGCCCTGTGGATCAAGAGATTTATATTTCTATACAATACCCTCTCTCTAATTTCCCAATAAGCATTTAACTAACTACTGTTTCCAAGAGACCAACTCATGAGGTGGTCTTTTAACTCGGACACAATAAGCTTCTGGTTGCTTTTGAAATTATTCTGGATGCTTATTAAGACAAAGGCATCATACTTAAAAAGAGACAAAGAACATGGAAGGTTGAAGGTGGACCACGTTAGACTCACCCATACATGGAAGAGGATTATTGCCATTGCTCCACTGTCCAGTAGCCAGGCACTCCACGCTGGAGTTATCTTGGGCCTGGAGATGAAAGCCCTCTTTGCATTGGTAAACTGCTTTGCTGCCCATGGTGTACTCCCTGCCAAAAACAACCCCGTTCTTCGGAGCTCTGGGAACTCCACAGGAGATTGCTTGGAAGAAAAAGTTAAGACATGTGATTGCTTGCCTTCATACAAAGTCTAGCTGTGCTTCAAAACTTAACCTGTTTTCATTCTCGTAAGTCTTCCCTATCCAATACATATATAGTAGCATTCACAGTAAACAATGATGCCCCAAATATATGTGTTATGACATCACACAAATCCTGCAAACATATACTTGATGTCTTGAGGCAGGTGCAGAACTCAGGGTGGCCTATGCATAACAGAGTCATCACACATGTGTAGTGATGCATCCTTATCACAATACGTTGTGTGATGCATTCTTTGCCACCCCAAAGCTCTGAAGACTTTCATATGCTTTCACCAACCTCCAGAGATACCCATCTGTGTAGAAGCATACTACTTGGATTTCTTTTTGCAAAACATACAGACACACTTCAGTGGGACTTCCTCTAAGCGAGCCAAAGACAAAAGCATATAAATTAATATATAATCCCCAATGAGGGACAAAGTGTGGGTTGAGAAGTCAGCTAATTTGTGACCAATATTGATTGGGGTTATGGTTCCTTTTGAACAGGGAAGATTTGCCTAAACTTGGGGATGTCTGTGACAGTAGCTCAAATTGTTTTGAGCTTGTGATGATACCCAAGAACAGACCTTGCCTTAGTCCCCCACCCTGCTATGCCTACCTTGATTTATGCGACTTGAAACCTATCTTTGAAGGCAATCAGAAACCACAGTTCATACAACTGCTTAGGAAATGACAAGGAAAAACAGTTGGAAGATGGGCCATCTTTAACAGTCTAAAAATATTGACCTTTATGATTTGGGCTCAGACTACTGCTACTCCATCTTTACTTCAAGATTGACTTCCAAATTCTTTGTATAAACTCAAGGGGTAGGTCCTTTTCAGCTGAGTTCATAGATTTGTAGATTATTATCCTAACTGAAATACATTAAACCCAGGTATCATAGATCATAGAATAACAGAGTTGGAAGGGACCTTGGAGGTCATCTAGTCCAACCCCCTGCTCGAGCAGGAGAGCCTATTCCAAATATTAGCCTCTACCTAGGATTGAACTCACAGCCTCCTGATTGTGAGGTAAGAGCTCTTTTAACCAAACTTTAAATAGCTATTTATTTTGAACTGTCAGCACTAGGATTTTTTAAATTTGATACACTTTTAAATGTTGGGTGGAATTGGTAGTACCTTTATTGTTTTTGTTGGAATATCTTAAGATCATATTTAATTATAGTTTGTTGTACTTTAAGTCTAATAGTGCCATTGTCCTAGTTTTATTTAGGTGATCCATTTGATTTGTAGCTTGGAAATTGAGGACCTACATAACCCTAAAAGGGGCATATTTTTAAATAACATCTGTTTCCTCTTAAACAACCATTTATGGATCTACTGTCTTTGTATAAACAACTCATCATTGTGAAGTTAGAATATTTATAAACTTGTTATGTTGTCATAGCAATTTAGCCAATGATCTGCTGGATGTTTATTTCAATTAAATGAATTCAAACCTGTGGACATACTGGACTATCTTTTCCCTGATGCAATTGCCTGCAGGCTAAGCTGGGAGGCCAATGGCCAGCAGAATTGTGATTAGGAATCTGTGCTTAAACACAAGCCAAGTTAAAATGATAAGCTAAAGCTGCAGCATAAACATCCAAATAGCATTTAGATTTTAAAAAAAAAGGTCCTTTATGAGAAAAAGAGAAGAATGAATAAGAGGAAATAGTAGGCTGGAGATGGATTTTGAAAGAACAGCTATAGTAGATGGTGAAAGAAACACATAACCTAATATGAAGGTCTAATTTGTTACAGCAGGGCCTTCATAATCAAGGACATAGGCTCCTTCTACAATAGGGCCTATTGTATTGGAAATAATTAGCATAAGCAGGGAAGGAAGGAAGGAAGGAAGGAAGGAAGGAAGGAAGGTAGGAAGGAAGGAAGGAAGGAAGGAAGGAAGGAAGGAAGGAAGGAAGGAAAACAGATCCAGCTGTCCAGTGTGGGTGTCATCAGTCACATCCTAGCTTTGTGAAGATAATTGTGTACATGTCACCCAAACCACTAAGGAGATCAGCAAAACCTCTGGCAAGGCCAGGCGTCTAGACAGCTAAGTGTGATGAATACCAATTTCATGTAGCAGCGACAGCAAGGGAAAAGGACAGGCAGCTGAAAATCCATGCTTTTGACTGATTCGGCTCTGTAATCTCTATAACCTTCAAGGATTACCTTACCAAAAACAATTTGGAGGGCCACATGGGCAGCTCATCCACCCCAAATTGTCTGCCAGTTGTTAAACGCTTTGTTCTCCCTATGACCCCTGTAGGGTTTTGCATGTGGGAAATTGATGAGTGGGTGGGAAGGTTGGGGAGGGGGTGCTGGTTCTTTTGCTTCACTCTTTCAATGAAAACTATATAGTTTGTACTGTACTTAATATTGTACTCCAATTGAGGCTCCTAATGAAAAATGTGTATTCACATTATAAGGGATATTGTATATTTGATGTGGAATAGATATCCTTCTTCAGCCTAGTTGGTTGCATTGACGTCTGAGAATTTATTGAAGGAGATAAAGTTTGATCCAAATGAATAAGAGTTTGCAGATGGAAAAAATGAGGGGTTTAAATGTCTATAAGCTACACTTTAAAGAATAAGAGGAAAGAGGATCCTCAGAGATGCTAAAGTGAACCGTGGTATAGGTAGAGATTTACGGAAATATTAAGCTAATTGCTGTAGGCATGATGGAATTAGTGAACCAGAGACCTAGAGGGCTTTTCCCCCTCCCAAAGCTCAAGAGAACGAAATAAATAAATAAATAAATAAATAAATAAATAAATAAATAAATAAATAAATAAATAAAGA